TGAAAAGAAAACTGGAATTTATGATAATAAGATTAGAGTGACGAAAGGAAAAGGGTATCTAAGTGGTTTTCTCGTTGTTTCAATTGGATCTCAACGAATTTTAACTAGATCAGTAAATATTAAAACACTAATAGATTTAAATATTTTTATTCGAGATTGGTCTAACACTTAAAGCTTTTTAGCAATATTCGATTATATATTATATTATTATCAAAACTTTAAATTTTAAATTATTAGTTTATATGAATTCGAAAATTTAAAAGACTGATGTATCATACTCAATTTTGGTTTACGGCAAAAGTTTTAAATTATATATTCCTTCTTTATTTTTGTTAAATGAGCATAGCGCATTAGGAAATTCATTTTTTTATTTGCTACGTAAAAAAAAGATATGTTCACGGCACCTGTTACCTATTAAACCGGTAAGTATGCCTAATTGACTTGACTCCTTCGGTTAAAAATCAACACTTTTTGATAATGAGTAAATCATTTAGAATTTAACTTAGAGAAAAAGTTTAGATTAAAACTTTTACGATTATAAATTAGAAACTTTAACTTTGAGCTTAATTAATATACAAATTGCTTTATTTAAGATATAAAACTTAATATTTATACAATAAATTATACAATTTTTTTTCTCTATAGTTAACTAATATTATTTACTCGCTACTATCTGATTTTTCATATAGGATACTTAGTTTCAGCTAAAATTAGCTTACTTGTCCTAGTCACCACGTAGAGGTGTATCCCATGACTAAGTTTATAACAGACTAAAAACTGTATCCTATAAAGGATGTAGCAAGAGTGAATGAATCACTCAAGAAAAACTCAACCCGACCTAGAGTTCGGCACTGACGAAGGGGATAAAAAAATAATAATAAAATAAAATAAAATAAATACATACCGACGTTAACTATAAACTGTAACAGAAAAGATATTATACAGAAACCCGGAAAACTTTGTACTAATCCTGAGAAATAAAAATAAAATAAAAAAAATGTCGTCCTGCTTTGGGAGCGCGGTAAAAATTTACCATTCGATTAAACCGTTTCAGTCGTAACCTTCCCGGCCACCTTATTACCCCCTCCACAGGAACCCTACAAAAAAAAGCAAAACTTTCCGAGTCTCTGTTGGTTAGTAATAATTTTCTGTTGCAAATCATAGATAACGGAGAAATAAATATTATAGAGAAGATATTATATGAAAAAAAAAAAACGATCATTTATATAACTATTTTTTTACGTGAGAAAAAAAAATTTTTTCGTGAAGTAACACTGAAGTGAAATCCGTTACCCAATATGGAAATTAAACATGTATCCGTTTCCATAGCTTCACGGTACACGCGTTATCATACAATCTAAAATCTCTTTCGTTAAGCAACTACATTAATTCAAACTGTATAAATGATGATTAAAATCAAATTGTGTTATTAAGTACTGTAAATTATAATTATGTAGAAAGTATACATATCAAATGTCGAACTAACTTCATTATTGTAAGAATTGTTTCTTGAAATATTCCGCAAAAGACGTTTGATGAAATCAAGAGATTGAATATATCAGATTATCTGTTAACTGTTAAGTAATTTAGATAAATAATTTAAATGAAGAGGTTTAATATGTGCATAATTGAACCTCTACTTTATTATATCTTGAATTAAATATTGGCATTATATCTCGTGAAGTATTTTGTATGGGTAGAAGAATTTGATAATAACTTCTAATAAATAATATTGTTATTAAATAGGATATTTTGAATAGTATTTTTACTATCAGCTATGTTGACTTATAAAAAATAAAATAAAATTTTCTGATTTTAATTTTGAAACCCTCTAATAATAACTGATAACATTTTTCATAAACTAAATTTTTTGTTAAATATTAGTGTATTTTGATTTTGTAAACATTTATATATACAAATTAATAATTTAAAAAAAAAAAAATTTTTTTTTAAAGTAAACTAGAAAATACATATAATATCGAAAAAGTTTTATTGGCAGTAAATAACTATTATAATAGATTCTATAATATTATTTGAAATTAATATAGTACCTCTAACAGCTAATTATAATAGTACTGTAATCTTATAAAGCACTTTATACTAATAATTCTAAGTGTTAAATAAGAGATCCATGAATATTTGAACTTAATTCTCATAATAAATCAATTGATACCTATTAAGTTCATTATTTCTTTTTCTTTGCATATCCACTTGTTCTTTCCCAATAAAAATCCAAAAAGGCTTTTTTATCTTCCATCCCTAAGTTAGTTTTGCGCATTCTACCAAGTTGACCCATCAAATTTAGAATATGAGAGCCAACAACATCATCCTGTGTTATTGACGGCGAAGGCAAAACAGATGATCGTGCAGCAGGAACCGCAAAATTAGGAGAAGACAGGGACTCTTCAGGTGCAAGGATCTTAATATGAAGGACATTATAATACTATATATAATAAATAATGAATTTTTAGTACAATTGTATCTAACTCATATTACCATAAATATCGATTCAATGATTAAATTCTTTTGGAAAATATTAACATACCTGACTACATAACCTTATAAAATGCCAGAACTTATTTCCAACAGTATAAGTCGGTGAAAAGTTTTCATATTCATACCTAAACCGATTAGAAGTAAATTAGTCTTATAGTCAGAAATGTAAATAATAACATATTACACCAGTACCTTATACTTAAAACGTGTATCGAAAAGTCTTTTATTGGTAACGACAACCCTTTAAAAATGGGAACGAATTTCAAAAGTGCACGTCCATTCGATGTCGTTCCCTATGAAATAAGTTGAATATAAGATTTCTTACGACTTAATATTATGTGGTTGATACGACTAAAAGTTACCTCAGGAAAAATAATGATCGGACCCCAATTATTTATTGTAGCATCATTTACTAATTCCTGGAGACTATAAGTTTTGACACTACTGGGTGGCGCAACTTCGGGGTATGAACCTGCCAACTTGAGTGCAGTCCACAAAGATATTGGTCGTAAAGTATTGGTTGATGGATAAATTTGCGTGAAAATAGGATCAAACCTAGAATTTTAAGAAATAATTTTTTAAAATAAACTTTTAACGATGAGTGATAAGCAGTTTATGTGATTAAAGCAAAGTTCTTCACCTGAAAGCCAAGTATAAAACTTCGACATAAGAAGTCCAATTACAAATTATCACATCACCACGTTTTACGCCACTTATCTCGCGAATTTTTGGAATACTGGGACGTCTATTAATATCAAAAAGTAATATGATAATTAGTTATTTTAGTTATTTTATAGTTCTAATGCGACACCATACATACCCCTTCCGTAAAGAAACAGTTTCTGTATGAATCCAATAGAAACCCAAGAAAAAAAGCGCAAGGCGTGATAGTAAAGAAGTGAATATATAGTGATATGTTCGATATACAGACTTTAAGTTTTTCTTTAAAAAAAAAAAAATCAAATATAATCAAATTTTGAAGACTTGAACCGAATCGTATTTAGGAAAATAGAAGGTTGTAATACCAGAGCTAGTCCAATAATGTCTACTAAAAGAAATAACAGTATGACGGTAATACCGGTCAATAACAACTTAAGAATCCCTAAAATAGGCTTTAGAATAATCCCGAGTATAAATGCAGTTTTGGCGTATACATTCGTTTTTGTTCTCGAAGGCTATTATATAAAATAGAACCTTTCGTTAATTTTACCTCCAATAATGAAAACTAGCCGAAATATAATCAAATACCACAGGGGTAAGGAAGGGCTGAATTCCAGTGCTAGCATCCTGAACAGAAAATATTGCGTTATCATTTTTATTTTTTAAAGCTAAGCCGAATTAGTTTAAACGTACCCTCCACTTTGAAAATTTCTCCATTTTTACTGTCAACAGGAATAAAATCTAATGTTTATACCTTTTTTATTGTCACGTTTTTATATATTCGATATTTATAAAATTTTTTTTTATTAATTTGACGCGAATATGCGTATCGGTATGTTGAAATACTTTCAGACCTATTTTTTGCGCGCATACTCCTGATTTTATTATTAAGCAATTCTCTTCTATATAGAATGAAAGCCGATCACTCAAGATTTTCTTTATAATTCAAAATTTATTATCCAACTAAGCAAAAACAGTGAAAAACGTTTAAATGTTTAATTCGTGATTCTTTTATAAGGATACGATACGTATTATAAAAAATTATTAACGTTAATTGGTGAAATTAAAAAGTTTGCTTTCGATAATAAAATAAATATAATAACAAAATTGAAAGTTTGCTTTCGATAATAAAATAATTTTATTTTAATAAAATAAATATAATAACAAAAAAAAAAAAAAAAAAAAAATTTAATTGAATCGTTGTTCGTTGTTCAAGACTAGTTTTGATGATATTATCGATTTCAGTACCTTGTTTGTCTTTAGGTTCATATTCTTCATCGTATGTTGATTTTCCAAATTTTTCATACCGTTATTTATCAGTTTCAAATTTTTGTAATCAAAAAATAAGATTGAAAAAAATTAAAAATCATATCCTTTTCTGACGATTTCATTGATTACGATAGTTTATTTTAACATGAATTAGTGAAAAATATTTTTATTAAAAGAAATAAAGAAAAAAGTAAATAGTATTTGGATAAAATTACATATGTAATTATTAAAGAAATAAACATATAATTTAATCTAAATAATTCTAGTCTATTTTTTAAGATGCGAGATTTTTTCAGTTAATCGACTTCAAAATATCTTTTCATAAATGGTGAGAATAATATTGTCCTCTGCTACTGCCCATATAGCACCAGGCGTAAACTTATATTTTAAAACTCCCACCAAAACACCAAAATCAAAATTCTCTTTCCTCACTACCGTATCCAAATCATTCCCTCTTCTAACCACTGTCTCCAACTCGAAAACTTCTTCACGATCAAAAAATAAATTATGATCTGATTAATTATATTAATAATTAAAAATTATTTACGTCTAATCTGCTACGATTTTTTTAATAAATTGGTCCCGGAGTAAGGTGATTTTTTTTTGCCTCTTGAACTACGAGAATTAAAACATTTTCACCGAGTTCGTCTTGGAATTGCTGGCGTTTCTGGTGGTATTAATTGTTCTATTAAATCTATTTTCGTAATATTTTCCAAGAATAAACTATTTATAAATAGTAATGCTTCACATAGGTCACACACTTGTTGAATTACAAAATTGTTATTTCTCTTTTGTAATGGTAATTCGATTGATTTGACCAAGACTATTCTGTAAAATAGTTTTATCTTGTGATCTAGAATGTAAATATTCATCCTTGTCTTATAGAAATGAACCATTATATGGTTGAACCTACTCCAGGTATCTTTAACTTTAGGTACATCATAATTTTGTATATATTTTAATTCATAATTCCAATTATCTTTAGAAAATTTGGCTTGTCTTGTTATATTCTCTAAAGAATGTTCTTCTTCAAATGAATATGGAGCATAGCTGTCTAGTGGTTCTGCTCTTAGAGAGAGGGAGTATGAGTATTGTGAGTATAGTTGTTAGGCGAAACCTAGAGGTTTCGCCATTGGCGAAAGGCGAAACCTAGTTTCGACTTTCGCCAAAAAAATTTTAAAATGGCGAAATGGCGAAACTGGCGAAAGGTGATGAAACTGGCGAAAGGTGGCGAAACTGGCGAAAGGTGACGAAACTAATGAAAGGTGGCGAAACTGACAAATGGTGATTTAATAACCGACCAAGCCGCCCTGCATTAGCATAATGCAGGCCAAAATTTCATGCGCTGATTCCTTAGGGTCATCATATGGGTGGAAATTTTTAGTTGGAATGCAAAATTAGGTGATAACAAAGTGATACTCATAAACAGCTTAGCTCAAATGATCCAGGTTCAGGTTAGTTTTGGGGGTATTCTAGCTAATCAGTTCGGAGCACTACTTATAAATTGGATATAAAAAACTCATAAGCAACTGATCAAATCATCACACTATATTTTATATCTTATTGGCGGTGTAGAATCACTTGATTTCTGCCCATGCCAATTACTGCGGAGTTAAGATAAATTCTGGCCAGCTTTAGTTTGGCTGACATTAATGCTAAGAGAAAGACTCTGAAAAGTTTTAAGGTAGACTATGAATGAATATAAAAAAACGAGCAAGATTGAGAAAAATTTTAGAATGAATAAGCCGAAAGATTTCGGTTTAGTCAATTAAAATTTTTATTTTTTGCTGTAACTTATAAATTGCGGTAATTTTACAATCCTGCGTATAATGCGCATGAAATTTGAAAAATCGTAATATAACAACTAATGGTGTTCACTATGGTGCATTTTAGTAAAGTCGTAAAAATAAAATTTTATTTAAAATAGAAATTTTAGAAATTTTAATTTAATATTTAATTCGTGATCCGCTTAAAAACCAGTGAAATATCATAGTAAAAGGTGAAGATATTCTTTGCCTTTTTTAGAATCTGAAGGTTCCCAAAAGATAACTTATTTTCTTTATTAAGTAAACTTCATTTATCTTCTAATAAAAGTTGTAGAGAAAAAAATTCCGGTTATAATGGTTGTCAAAACGCCCGGTGGATCACGAGATATGAGCGTTTTAGTTTTCGCAGCTGTATAATCAAAACAAAGTAAACATATAGCCGCGAAGACTAAAAAGCTCATATCTCGTGATCCACTAGGCCGTTTTAACAACCATTATGACTGAAATTTTTTCCTCTACAACTTTTATTAGAAGCAGAGGTTTACTTAATAAAAAAATAAGTTATCTTTTGGGAACCTTCAGATTCCAAAAAAGTCAACTTTTTACTATTATGTTTCACTGGTTCTTATGCGGATCACGAATTAAAGATATAAATTTAAATTTAAAAAATCTAAATAATTTAAATGAAATAATAAATTTGTTTCTTTTAATTGAAAGAAAAAGTTTTCATTGAATTAATCAAGCGGTTATTGAGAAGTCATTGCTCATATTAAAACATCTCAAAGCTTCTAATAAAATAAGCTTACTGGAATTTTTTAAAACTTTGAACGAAGCTATCTCGAAGCTACCAGACCAAATTCGATAGAAATTTTTTTTCTAATTCTACAGATTTAAAAATGGCAATAAAAAAAGGTTCATTAAATTTTATCAGGCGGATATTCAAAATTTTAAAAAAATTTGGCGTATCTTCTATTTGAATTGTTTGCTAACTTTCGAACAATATACTGTATCTTGACAAATACTTAATTAATTTAGATGAAAAAATTTTTCATTTTAATTTTGCAAATTTATAGAATTAAAATAAAAAAATTTTCATTGAATTTGTCTTCGTTCAGAGTTTAAAGAACTAATATTTGATCTTTAAAAACAATATATGGCTAATGAAATTATTTTTTTGTTTATCTCCTTTAGCTTCGCCTTTATTAAAGTTCAGATACCAGTCGTTTCGTCTTCACCAGGGTTTCATCTTCACTAGTTCATCAGAGGTTTCTTCTTTCGCCACGGTTTCACCTTTCGCCAGGGTTTCACCTTTCACCTTGCCAGGGGTTTCGTCTTTCGCCAGAGTTTCGTCAGTTTCGCCTTTTTTGGGTTTATGTTTCGTCTTTCGCCATTTTTGTAAAACAGTTTCGCCTAACAACTATAATCCCAACCAAAAAATATCTTTCGAATTGTCTTGTGGAATAGGTCTAATAATTCTAATAACTGTGCTGAATTAATAATTTTAAAACTATTAACATTTTGCTATATAAAATGATAGTATAAGTGATATTAATCCATTGTTGTTTTACTTGTACCAATTTGATTAACGAATGATTTATTATAAGGAATACCACCAAAAATAAAAATCGTATCATTATTCCTTCCATCAATACAGGCTGTAGCTGAACTCCCGGTAGGAATAAAGCAAAAGTAAAAATAAAATTTGAGAAAAGCAAAAGTATACAAACTAAAATACAGTACAACATAATTATAAGAAAACATTTACTGTAGTTAAAGAATTATATATAACAAAATTACTAATAATTTATACTACGTAGTAAAACGGCGGCGTTTTATAGGCTGGAGCATTAATTATTAGTCCTTAAATTTTGGACTTTAATATTGTAAAGAAAAATCCTTGTTTTCTAAAATACGTTTCATCTTAATATTGTTATCTATTAAAAAGTAAACATGATCCGAACTCTTTGATAGCTGATAGATATTAAATCATAAGGCTCATAGTAAGTTTATAGGTTCAACATATTATAAACTAGGAAAATGGATCGATCCATGGGATCCAACAAAATTACATGAACAAATGTTGAGTACAAATTAAAGTACAAGAGACGTTATTATTAATAAAAACCTTTTTTTAGTAAAAAGCCTCCATTTATTTTCTTTTATCTTTTCGTTCTTCAGTGACTTCTCATCTCTCTTTTTATTCCACTGGTTGTGCAAAACGTGTTTTCACTGTTATGGTATAAACGTTCCTCATACTCACAAACTAAATTAACAAAATTAACGCAATAAAATGAAATTGAACTTGAATAGGTTATTTTAAATACATTGATTATAAAAGTTCTTTCTACTTACAGGCTAAATTAACAAATTAACGCAATAAAAATTTATGAACTTGAATAGGTTATTTTAAATACATTGATTATAAAATGTTCCAGACTAAATAACGCGAATAAAATGAAATTAAACATTTATGAACTTAAATAGGTTATTGATTATAAATATTCTTTATACTCACGGACTAAATTAATGCGAATAAAATGAAATTAAATATTTGTGAACTTGAATACATAGTGATCCTGGCCGATCAAAATTTTTCGACCGGCTAAGCCGATAAAATTTTATCGGCTTAGCCAGCTTAGTCGATTTTTATTAAAATTTCGGAATCCTTTGGAAGATTAAGTTCGTTCATTTTCTACATTGGAATGTCATAATAAAATCGATCAGCCGATTTTTCGGCTAAGCCGATTTTTTCACTATCGGCCAGGATCACTATGAATACATTGATTAATAAATAAATTTTCTTAATCTTACAAACTAAATTAAATAGCAAACATTTAGAATGTCCAAGGTAGCTACCTCTTTACGTCACCCTTACGTCATATAAAATTCAGGTAGTGACGTCAATACGTCACTGCCTTTTGTTAGTTGATGTTCTAATGCCTGCAACCTTACGTACGTATTTGAAGCATATTATATGATGATAATCTCATTACACAAATACGTAAATTTGCATATTTTGTTACATTAAATTAACAAATTTGAACACGCTTTATTATACGTACAGTATACGTATAGATAAATAGATGATCAATAATTAAATCTGTTAAAAAAAATTAGTTAACATTACACTGATAAGGACGGTGATAACAATCCTTTACTCTTGAGCTTTCAAGATGTTTGCATCTAAATAACTCTAACCCTTTACATCAAAGATTGTTTTTTCTGATTTTTTAGCATTTAGCACTAATCACCTAACTAGACAAGCAGATGCTCTGATAAAGATTTAAGTCTCAAAAACCAGGTTAAGTCTTTTAGTGTTTTATACTAACCACTTAATTAAATAAGTGGATACTTTGGTATAGTTGTAAGATTTTTTAATAATTAATTTTTTTTTTTTTTAGATTTGGTTATGTTTATTTTTTATCATATGAGGATGCTAGAAATTTTTTCTATACTATGCTTGATAAAGTGTTTAATGGTCTGCCTTATAATGATGATATCAAATATAATATCAAATTTTCAAAGTTGATATATTATAAGGTTTCCAAAAAAGACTATATCAATATAAATATATTATTTTTTGTTGTTTTTAACTATATATACACTAATGCTATTATTAATAAATAGTATCTTAGTTCAGAAAAGTTAATTACATTATTGATGAAACATATTTTCAACTTAGAAAAATATATCTAAATCTTGAAACTAGAGATAAAAAAAAAATTAAAATAGAAAATGTTTTATTATTAGTATATATATATTATATATCTAATATATTAGTTTAGTACATATACTCAGTATTGTTGTTTGACAGCTTTTGGACATAATTTTGGATATTTTAGATATTCTGAAAAAAAATAAATTAAATTTACTCAAAATTTTATTAAGATAACCTATTTAAATTTCTTAAGCAAAATGTTTAAAATTAAAAAAGAATATAATTATATAATTTTTATTTTAATTACTAAAATATTTAAGACTATGAATAGCTTAGACACTTTAGATACTTAGATGTTTAGACATTGAGTATGTTTAAAAAAGCTTTAGATATGCCAAAATATACAACACTGCATGTACCTATTTATAGCTATTATACTATATATATAATTAGAATTTATATATAAAATTGTATAAAATTTTTTGAACATATTCTTAAATTCAATAGTTATGTAGTGCAAGTATAATTAATATTAATAGTATTACAAGTATAATTAATATATAGCAATTAACAATATATACTAGTATAGCTAGTATAAGAACTATCTATAAAAATAATATAAAATATTAATAACAATTAAATTAGTTATTATTAATAAATTAAAGGTTTGGTATATCAGATTTAAAATATTTAAATTACTAAGCTGAATCTCATTCTTATAATAAAAAGTTTTTATTATAGTTTTATAGTTTTGTTTATTAGAATTATTATTCTCTAATAGCTTTAAGTAATATGTTATTATATATCTACTTTTTAAATTGAATTTTATAGTCTAAAGTACAAAAGTATGTTCTTGTTGCTTTATCTTATTGCTTTGTAATATTGAAAGATGTTCTTTTCCTTGTAATAATTCTATTATTATTTCTAAAGTTTTTTAAGATAACTAATATGCTGATATGCTATATATATAAACAGATATTAGATAAATATATTGATCCTTATTATATGATAAATTAGTCTTTGCAAAGAAAATGACACTTCAAGACTATTTAGATTTATGAATAAAAATTAAAATTTACTAGTGATTTAGTAATTCAATTTGAAATTAAATTTTTTCAGATAAACAAAAAGCTTTCACTATTTAAAATTACTTCAAGCATATTTTAATAGTGCTTAATATTTCTGAATATAAGATTATAAAAAGCTCTCTAATTATCTTTAGTATATTTACTAATAAGAAAAAATTTTGTTAGATTCATACGATAAAAGAATTTAGTACAGTTAATTTGTTGTATAAAGAAGCAATTAATATTTAAGCTATAATACTTTTTTCAAATTTCTTGGTATACTCTTTTTTTTTTATTTATATTTATAAATTTTGTTCAATCAATTTAAATATTAAATTAATAAAAGTCACATATCAATAGATATATTAAATTTTCAACTTAAAGAATGTTTAGTAGACTTTTTCAGAGATATTTTTTCTGAAGATAATTTTTTTTTATATGTTTTAAAAGTTTTACTAAATTTTTTTATATATTATTTTATTTATAATCAGCTTTTTTTAAATGCAATTTACTAAAACTATATTTATCTTTGCTATTAAAATTATTACTTAGAATTTTTTTTTTTTAACATTCAGCAGTCATGCCAAAACTTTATTTAGATTTGTTTTCTATTTGAAAACATCATTATTTAGCTATATACTATCTAATGTCTAATTTTTTAAGCTTTGACTCACACAGTTATCCTATAGATACCTATGTATAATCTGCTATAGTAACCTTTGTTTTATACTTACATAGTCCTAAGTGAACTATGGATCAATATAGGAAGGATGCTACAGCTCATCATGACTAATTTTTAAATCCAACTAATTAAAATTCTCTTTCTTATTTCCCTAGCTATGCTATCTAATGCTATTTTAAGACTAATATTACAACTTTCTATATTCTCATCTATTCTGCAGTTCATTTTTTTCCTTGAAGGCTTCTCTTTTAAAATGTTTTTTCCTTTTTCTTTCTGTGTGTACTTTTCTTTTTTAGAGATCTTTTCTTTTTTCTCCCAAGCTTCCATATCTTTGCAACAGTTTTTCCAAATTTCTTTATATACTAGTTCCATTCAGATGTGCCAGAAAAGGCTTCAAAATTTAGTTGTTATACTTTTGGAGTTAGTAATACTTTTGATTCTTTCAGCATCGTCTTTACAGAGCATACTTCTTAACCATTCCTTCCTCTTTTGTTGTTTTGTCTTCTGTTTATATTAGATTGCTTGGTATATACTCCCTAGATTCCAGTTTTTATCCTTTCTTTTGTCTTCGCGGAGTTGTTTCTATGCTTCATCTTCAATTTTCTCAAGTGTCTGATATGTTTTTTCACAGGTGACTAAATGTCTAATCATTTCTTTTTCCTTCAGGTATCTTTTGTATAGACTATCTTTGTATAATTGTGGCTTTCTACAATTTAAGATTTCTACTGTTGAGAGGAAGTTTTCAATACATTTGATTTTGAACAATCGCAGGTGGTTTATCTCAGTGTTTTGGTATTGTTTATAACAACTTTCTAGTATACTCTTAAAAGCTTTCTAATCCTGTTTTCAGATTCTTGTCTAGTGTTCTACATCATTTTTCTTTCTTAGCAGATCTATTCTGCCTTGTATATTGTTTGAATTGCTTTTTTAACAAAAGCTCTTAGCGGAGTTTCCAGACTTAGCTCTTGCTATTCAGGAATATACTTTGTGTTGTTGTTGCTGATATTGTTCGGTTTTATACAGTTTTTTTTATATAATCCTTCCTTTGCAAATGTATCTGCTAAATCATTATACATATCTCCTGAATGACTTTTAACTTTTGTCAGTATTAGCTTAACAGATTTGCTTTTGAAGACCTTTTTAATCATGTGCAGAATGTTATTATTCTTATACTTTAACTATTCTATGTCTTCTCATTCTTAAGACAGTTTTTGATTACAAAGATCACACATATACTATCTGTTCTAATTTCTACTTTGCATCTATCAAAAACTAACAAAACTGCTACTAGACAAGCTACTAGCTCTGCACGAGTAGATGAGAACCAATTTTCTATCCTTCCCTTATAACTAAAAACTACACTATTTGCACTATCTATTTGAACTAAACTAAATCCTATTCTTACTTTGTTTCTAGTATCTTCATTACTGAGTGAGTCATTTGTGTAAAATACTATTTCTTTTTCTTCTCTGTTTGCTTCTAGTCTCTCTTTTAGTTCTGCTCTAATTCTTGTATTTTGAATAACTTGATTAATTAGTTCTGCTTTCCAGCTATTTTCTACTTCAACTCGCTCTAAATTCTTAAACTTCTTGAAATCCTCTACTTTGCTTTTTTGGTTCTTTTTTCTTATCTTTTCCAAGTACTTCCTATTGAAAGCTACTTTTGATATATTATCCTTCTTTCGTACAAAGCTTGAGATGTTATGAACTTCTTTTAGAGCTACTCTTTTTTTTTTGCTATTCTTCTTTAGTTTGGTTTCTTCTTTGTATACTTCTTGTTGGCTACATTCTTTGAACAAGTTTTCCTGGTCTTCTTCCCAAACTTCTACTTCTACAGCTTCTTTTCCTTTCTAGTGATATGCTAATTTCATTTTCTTTATTCTCTTTACTTTTTATAAGTATCCATTCCTTTTTTCTTTTATCAGATGAAATTTCCTTTCAGCTTCTTGTACCTAGAATACTCTTCTTTTTCAGTACTCCTCTTTTACTTCTCTCGATTTCTTGTCTTCTAGAATTTCATTCTCTAAGATTTGGAACTACTTTGCTTTTCTTCTGATATGTTTTTTTCCTTCTCTTATTTTGAGTTATCTCCATATAATCATTCTTTCTTGTTCATTATCTAGTAGCTGATTTACGTGCTATAAATTGAGCTTGCTTATATCTTCTTATGCTTCTTTCATGTCATATTTATCAAGTATACTACTAATAAGACAATTTTTCCTTCTTTCAAATTTATAAGGTTCCACTCTGCTATGAAATCATTTTTCATAATACTTAGACCAAATTCTTTTGCATGTTGCATTATTGTAGCTCTCAGATTTCTATGCTTCATTTTTTTCAGGTTCATATTTTCTGCAGTAAGTATATACTCTGGCATATTCATATCTAGTTGTGACTGTTTTAATCTTATTAACATAGTTATGTCCAAAATGCTATTTGTATTTATCCTTACAAGGAACTCTGATATGTGGTGCTCTATATGTTTTTGCCATAGGCTTACTACTTCAAATATATCTCTGTGCCAAAGAATCATATTTGCACATGTGAATGGGAGTTCTAATTTCCATTTGATTAGTCTAAGCATAGGCTAGTGTATCATATCACATAATTTTTTCCTTAAGCATATGTTTGCTAGCAAATATTTAAGCTTTGGGACTGATACATTTTTTTTCTTATATTTTTTTTAAGTATCTTTTATATATTTTTCTAATTAAACTCTCTACTTATATTACTTGTTACTTTTAAGCTATAATTTCTGCTATTTTATTTAATTCTTTTTTTTAATTTTTTTTTTAATTTTTAAGGTAGTTTATATTGCTAGGCGATTTTTATTAGTTTGATATATGAGATTACACAAGGGTAATCTCTATAGTTTGTAATTACATGAAGAGTGTACAACAAGCTACTTGTACAACTTTAGTCATTATCTAATTTAAATAGTCTGCTATATAGGCAATAGACTACCTGATTAGTTCTACACTATGCTACTATACCTGTAACCTATCTGTAAGTTATTTATTTAAATACTCTGTTCAACTAACCCATACCGTTACAAACTAATGTCACTATAATACCTAACTACTTAAGCTAGCTAGCTCGTTACAGATCTATTTTTCGACACCAGCTTAGATCCTCTTAGGATGCTTATTACTCAATATATTGTGAGTCCGTAGAGCTTCAGTTAACCTTGAAGCAAACCTACTAGAGCGGCCTGTGCCCATTTCATAGGCTCATCTAGCTTAGACTCTTGTAGATGTTTATATAACCCCAGTTCCTACTGTGGCTCTTCACCAGTTTTCTGTGTCTATCTTCTCAGATATTTCACGAGATAGATCCTCCCAATCTAGTTAGCCGCCAAGCCAGATTAGTGTTACTGATCCTCTTCGTAGAGCAGATTTATGCATACCTGACTCGATCTGCATCTTTGACAATAGTTTCCTTTCTGGATCAAGCATAAACTGGTATGACTGTTGAAAGCTGTACTATTTCACCAACTCAAGATTTTTACTATGCAGGTCCTCTGCCTGTAGATCATTATATGCGTATATCATCCTGTAATTAACTACTGCTACACAATATTTTTTTCTATCAAGATTTATTTGTATAACATATATCATCCTATGATTAACTGCGTTATACAACTAATGTCCGATTGACTTGGTGCAACTTAACTTATAGGGTTACAACTCCAGAAACAGACAGAGTTTATTATAAGTTGGATACAAAGATCCAGGTAATTATTCAAATTCGTCGACAGTAGGATTTGAACTCCAGACCTCTTGTATAGCAGTCTGGCAATCTAACTACTACACTAAGATCGCCAGACCTTATTTTATTTAATTCTATTTATTTAGTTTTATATATTATTACTATTACAATATTTGAAAATCTCTATAGCAAAAGAAAACAGTAAGCAATTTTAAATAAGTATATCTTGTAATCTAGTAATCAGAATTAAATAATTTTTATATTATTAGATTTATCTTACTAAGATAAATCTAATAATATAAAAATTATTTAATTCTAATTACTAGATTATGAGATATACTTATTTAAAGATCAAAATTTAAAACTACTTATTGTCTTCTTTAGCTATAGAGATTCTTATTTAGTTTTTCTATTTAAATATAACTTGAAAATTATTTAAAATTATTTTAAATACTTTAAATATATTAGATTTATTTATTTTTCTTTTGCTAGCTTGTCTGTTAAATTATTCTATTTATTTTTACTATAACTTTTTATTTTATATAATACTAGATTTAGACTCTTAGCTATATAATAGTCTTTAATTTATCTTATTAAATTTTTGTTTTTTGTTTTAAACTAATTTTATAACTTGCTATTTCTGTATTTATTTAAGTTTTATTACAAAATTCTGAACACTATTTTCTCGAAAGAGCATAATACTAACTAAATTAGCTAATATTATAACTAACGCTAGCTAACTTTGTTAGTATTAGATCCTTTTAGGAATATGTCTTTTAGGATTTTGTGATAAAACTATTTATTTAGTATTTTTTAGTAACCTCTATTGCTACTTTACTATTCATAAATATATATATTTTAGCTTTACAAAATATTGTTAAAAAGACTATCCATATAGCTCGAAGTTTAGCATGAGTTTAAAAAAGCTAGTTTTTTAAACTACTACTAAAACTAATAATACTATATAATTAGATTAAATATAGAAAATATCATAAAGCCGAAGAGTTTAAACAAATTTTTTATTAAAAAATTTTATAACTTGATTCGTTAATTATCACGGATAAATCACCAATTCCTTCTATAAATCAGTATACTACTGTACTATGATAATTTTTTTCTTAAACAAAATTTCAAGATAAACAAGACTTTTGTATTGCAAAATGATATTACCAAATTAAATCTTACTATAAGTTACAGAAAAATTTTTTTATATTATATTTGATCTTTTACCTTATTTGAGTTTTATAAATTTTTAAAGTTTAAAATAAATTCTGTATGTAAGTATATATTAATACAGTTATTTAATTAGATAATTTAACTTATATAAAAACTTTAACGTTAAGTATCGAATCCTAAAACTAGTGATTTGAACCGAGAAAAAATTCCTTAGTCGGATAACCGAACCGAAATATTTAATGTCAACCGATTGCAACCGATTAAGATTACTTCACACTTTACCTTCGGAAGTTCTCGGACTTTTTACTCAAAATTTTCTTCTTGATGTCATTTACATCCTGTCAACCGATTACTGATACTCAACGGTTGTACGGGTCAACCGATTAAGAATTTATTTAACCGGTTACCCGAAATTTATTCAATTCGGGTCGGTTAACCGATTATAGCCCAACTGGTTCAAAATCACTACTTGCAGATCTTTTAACTGAAAATTTTCACATTACCGTTATATTCAACACAAAATAATACATTATATACTATATTTCTCAACTATTCCAACTATTCTATTATACATGTTATCGTAATACCAATTGACACGGATCTAAAGATTATACCCGTTGAAAAAATCCCTATCTGCGTATCACATTTTAGACCGGGTATAATCCCTGAACAGACCGATCTAATCATGATTAATAGAGCAGACCCTTCTTTTGATCAAAAACCTGAAAATTTATAATCGATCGCTAATTTGACCATCAAGCTTTTGCATAAAATTTACATAGTTTTGTAGATGGTCTTGCTTTTTATTTAGTGTAAGCATTAAATATTAGATCTTACAATTTATCAAGTTGAATTTAAAGATCATCGTGTTTACTAAGCAATTAATTGAACAACACCACCAGCTTCCTTTATTTTTTCTTCCGCTCTTTTAGAGACATGTCGTGTCCTAACAATCATAGGTTGTTTTGGGAGACGACCTTTTGCCAAAACTTTACCATAACCCTTTAAAAATCATTAGAAAATAATGTCAGTAAATTAAAATATACACATATATAATAATGATTATACTTACATGATTTAAAATATTAATAACTGGTGCAGCTTTTGTATCCTTCTCATATTTTTTTCTCGTTTCTTCGGAAACCAAAGTCCACAACTTATCCAGATTGATAATCGGACAATGATATTTATTACGTGTCAAATGAAAATATCTCATACCGACTTTACCAAAATAACCAGGATGGTATTTATCCATGTTAGTACGGTGATGATGCAAACCACCTGCAAGACCTCGACCTCCCGGATGCTTTCTATGTTTGCCTTTATATTTGAATCAAATGATTGTAAATAAAGATTATAAGAGAATAGAAATAATGATAATGAATACATATATCACAAATTAAGTAATTTACCGATACGGCCATGTCCAGCGGAAACGTGTCCGCGCTTTTTTCTGTTCTTTTTGAGTCTTGAAGGCTAATAAAATGAAAATTATATATCGATTACATTTATTACTAGTTCATGTTCATCATTCCTTTTATTATGAAATTATTATATTAATTTTTAAAAGATCGTATCAAAAATAATAGCAACTAAAAGATTTTTTTTTCCTCTAAACAAATATTATAATTCAATAACATTTGGATTGGTGAGTAAAGCTTACCATTCCTTTCCTTTTTTTTCTGCAAACGGGAATGAAAATGTGGGAAGGAATGAATAAAATATCAAAGAAATGAATTTATAGAATTTTTTTTTTTTTTTTTTTTAATAGATGTGCGTGATAATCACGTTTATAGAATTTAAAGGTACAAGATGCAAGTTATAATTGGTCAATACAATTTCTATCGATCCCAGTACACGTATATAGATGACGCAAGTCAAATTGGCGTCAGTTTCAATTTTAAATAATCGCCAAAAAAAAAATTTGTCATTAAAAAAAGTTTCTGATGGAAGAAATCGTTGTCAAGAATGAGGTTGGGTTCATTATATAATTAGTACTTTATATAATAATATTGCTTTAGCTTGACGCCGATGGTTTGTCCGAGAACGCGCAAGCAATAGATAGAATTTGATAAATTCGCTCAATTACAATTTATGTGTTAGGAAGCCGTTCCCGAAGAGAAGAGCGAATTACTTCAAGAATTAAGCGAAGGGGACTTGTACTCGAAACTTAAAAAACTCCAACGACACCTCGAGTTTCTTGAATTGCAAGAAGAGTATATAAAGGACGAACAAAAAAATCTGAAACGTGAATTGATCAGAGCTCAAGAGGAAGTCAAACGAATTCAATCTGTACCTTTGGTAATCGGTCAATTTTTGGAACCAATTGATCAGCATACAGGGATTGTAGGGTCTACAACTGGATCTAATTATGTGGTTCGAATTTTAAGCACCATCGACCGAGAATTACTTAAACCATCATCGTCTGTTGCGCTTCATCGGCATTCTAATTCGTTAGTTGATGTGTTACCTCCCGAAGCAGACAGTAGCATTGCTATGCTTGGGGCAGATGAAAAACCAGATGTAGCGTATGCAGACGTAGGTGGACTGGATATTCAAAAACAAGAAATTCGAGAAGCAGTAGAATTACCGCTAACACATTTCGATTTATACAAACAAATTGGAATCGACCCTCCACGTGGTGTTTTACTATATGGACCTCCAGGAACAGGCAAGACGATGCTTGTCAAAGCAGTTGCACATCATACAACAGCGTCTTTCATCCGTGTAGTAGGGTCAGAATTTGTTCAAAAGTATTTAGGGGAGGGACCACGTATGGTGAGAGATGTATTTCGATTAGCAAGAGAAAATTCACCGGCTATCATCTTTATCGATGAAATAGATGCAATTGCTACCAAGAGATTTGATGCACAAACAGGAGCGGATCGAGAAGTACAGAGAATTTTATTGGAATTATTGAATCAAATGGATGGGTTCGATCAAACATCAAATGTGAAGGTAAATATTCTAATTAATTGACATTTTATATAAACGAACATAATACATAATTTCATTCATTTTATAGGTTATCATGGCTACAAATCGAGCAGACACATTGGATCCAGCATTGCTTAGACCTGGTCGTCTTGATAGAAAAATAGAATTTCCTATTCCAGATCGCCGTCAGAAACGTTTAATTTTCTCTACTATTACTTCTAGTATGAATCTTTCAGAAGAAGTTGATCTTGAAGATTGTATGTATTAACTACGTTATTAAATTAAATTTAATTAAATTAATTAATTACTGACATATATGATATGTTTAAAAATAGTTGTATCTCGCCCAGACAAACTAAGTGGAGCAGAAATTCATGCTATTTGTCAAGAAGCAGGAATGCAAGCGGTTCGAAAAAATCGATATGTAATCCTGAGTAAAGACATTGAAAAAGGTTATAAAGCGAATGTTAAGAAAGCTGACACAGACTTTGAGTTTTACAAATAAAAATATCAATGGTAATATTTATTATTTCGATTATAATATCATAGTATTTTTTTTTTTTTTTTTTTTTTTTTTTTTTTTTTTTTTAAATGTGTGTGAACTTGATACAAATTGATTTTCATAGATTGATCATTTAAGTTCTTATAGGCTTAATCTTAGTATCGTAAAGGAGTTTCTTGCATTTAATATTAATATTATCCATCAATTACAATTTTTTTTTACGACTCGTCTATAACGATTAATTAGGACAGATATATATAATAGCTACGTATGTGCAAATAACAAACACATACCCAATTACACAGTAACCTAATCAATAATTGTGGGACAGAAAAGTCGGCGAAAAGCGATAAACTTTAGGATTAAGATACATGTGATAATTTCCTTTAATAACAATGAAATTTCGGGAACTGCATGCGCTTCAAGTACGCACGTACGTACACATATTGGAAATGGTTATCCCAGGATAAGCCTCGTACCCATTACACATACTGATATAGGATAATGAATTTTACCATATAACGAAAAGCATCTCTCGTTGTAAACTAAATATTCAATTTAATCTTTGACCTATTTTATTTTCGCATAGCACATCCAGTATATACTAAAAGAAGGATTCAAAATTGTAGCAACTACGCAATAAAGAATTATTTACCGTACTAATATGTCTATAAATGATAAGATTATCTCGAATCGTTTAGTTGTTAGACATTGATAATGGACATCTATTGCAGAAAAACCAGTCTTTCTTTAGCCATAGATTTCTCTCAGAGATCACGTAAAAATTTTTGTGTAAATTTTATTTTACTGGAAATATTCCATAAAAATTATAACAGAAGTTCTAATTATAGATATTTCGTAAAAATGGTTGTAATATTACATAATTCAAAAACCGAAACATAATAGGAATTTCGCAAGCCGTATATTGCGGTTTGCATTAATTTGATGAATAAAAAAAAAAAAAAGATCTTTGTTCCTTTACAATTCATATAACTCTACCTTCTCAATCCTGAAAAATAACTTGAATGCGTCTTGGAATTTTTTTTTTTTTTTTTTCTTTCTTTGGGGGATGAAGTTGATGCAACTTCCACGACAAATCGAGATCTCAAATCTACAGCTTTTATTTGACATTTTTAATGAATTCATAGAATCTGTACGTTTAGAACTTAGCAAAAGAAGATATTTATATTAAATGCACTCATCATTGGCTGTAAAATTAGGGATAGAATCAAGCCTTTTGAACGATTAAAACCATGAAAAAGGATGAGTTAGCCACAATTGTTTTTATTGAAACTAACGCCATTGAATATTTCAGTACTCGAAGGATTCACAAAATCAGGTATGGTAAATACAAATTAAATATTTGTATGAAGGTATTATCTCTATGCTTACTACAATTTAATTCAATTTATGCATAATCCGCGGATTTATGTTTCTACGTACTTATTTCAATTGCATTCAATATGTAACCTGAAATATTTCTGGAAGAAACTGTGGTCAAGATTCAGTGTAACCTTAAAGAATCCAGATATATCCTGAAAAAATATTTAATCTGCGATTACAATTATTATGTAAAAACATTGCGGTCAGAAATTTCTTTTCAATCCAGTTATTGATCAATATTGTCTTCATCTCGTATATTCTTGATCAGAATTATCCCAAACATTTGTTTGTTTTGCCCGTGTTCTGAGGTGCATAATGGGAAATGTCAATTACAATGAATTGAACGAAAGTATTAAAAACTTCTGAAACGAGCTAAATTATGTTGATCAAGGATAATGATGTAACTCTTTCTAAATTAAATATTTGAACACAATATTAGCATGCAGAAACATAAGATTGTGACAATTCGAACTAGGATAAGGATTATTGTTATATATATGGCTAACTGCAGAGTCAATGATACCAACAATGGGTGAATAATCCAAAGCGAACTTGTTAAAATACCATCAGAAACTTATTTTTCTTTCGTTTAAAGACGACAAGTGTTTGACTATTTTTTTTTTCGCTATTGTGAAAATGTTCGCCACAGTCTTTGTATTTATTTGGTCAAATTACTATTAGTGAAATGCTTGTGAAACAATCGTGGACGTACGTCAAGTATTTAAACATAAAGTTTCTTTTTCCTTGTACTATCCTTTGAATTTTATGTAAGTTACCCTGTGACAATATTTAAATTGGAAATCTCGAATTTTTTTTTTTTTGCTACTATTTGTCTATTTGTGTAAATATTATAATCATATATATTATCTATTGCTTTTAATAATAATTATTGTATTAAATTATATTACGTATATGGTATCTGATGCTTATCAGTTTAGTATATAACGGTAATCTTATATCAAATCCTAACCCAGAGTTGGCTCAAAGAAGAACTGACCTTTTTCCTTTTATCAGTCTCCCCTGCTCGGTTGACCTTACCTTCGCAGGAGTCGAAGACGAATTCTAAAAGTTTAGAAAAAAAAAAAAAGTAAAAAAGAAATTTTTGAATTAAGTATTAGCGTAAATGAAATTTTTGGAACAATTTAATAGGTGATTTATCATAAATTAATTGAATAAATTAATTCAAATAAATTAATTCACTTTTTTAAATTATATATTCTCTTAACTAACTAGCAGACAAGAAGCATGCATTTTAAGCAGTTGCAAGTCTAATGAACTTTTGTAATGCAATTGAAAAAATAAATAAAAATAAAAAATAGAAACTAACCTCCATACGGCAGGATTCACCGTTATCATCATAGTTAATAATAGGAACACCACCTTCTCTAATTTCACGAGAATTTTGTGGTCGAAAACGGCACACAACTCTAATATTGTTTCCTGGAGAACTCATTATGATATATTTCTAAGAATTGGAATGAAATAGAGTCTATTCTGTATTTTCA